TAGCTTCCCGTTGATCAACTCTTCGCCTATAATTTCGACAGCTTCCCATTCATCCTCGGATATTTCATCCACCACCGGAGGGGTTGGAGGATCCTCCGCGGACGGACTTGTGCTGGCACGCTCATTCCTTGCCTCTGTATCGCTGTTCTGGAGACTAGCCATCTCAACACTCATCTGAGTAGCAGGAGCCAGGCACAGTGCCCCAATAGAAGAGTCTATCGGGGGATCGGCAGTTTCGTCATATATAGGAGCGGGATCCGACTCGATTTGTGCATGCAACAACTCTTCGGCAGCAGGGGGCTCGTTATCATATGCATCTTTCTTGAAAATATTGACCGACGCGTTAGGACCGCTGTTGGTAGGTGCCAAAAAAGTCATGTCCAGAGACTGCGGAGGCCTGCTACTATCGATATTCTGATCCCAATTTGTATCTTCATCGATAACAATGGCATAATCTATAGTCTTCTGTCAGCTCTGGCTTTTCGGGCTCTGGAATAGAACCAGTACATACCGTGAGACTTGCCACTAATTTCAGAATCACCATCTGCTTGGACATGGGAAGGCGAACTAGTTATGTCGTCTAGCGAAGTAGAAGTGCTCGACACGCTTGGCTTGGCGCTAGTGTTGCCGTTTGGCCGTTTGGCTTCCCACAGCTCTTCAATCGATGGGAGCTCATCAGGTGAGCCAGAAGTCTCATCTTTTTTCACTTCAGTTAGCATATGACTTGTTTCTATGCTGGACCTATTTCTCATACCTGCGATCTCTTTGACAGTTTCCCCAGCACACTGGGGAGGCCACATGTCATCTAAGTCCTCAGCCGCATTTGGGATTTGGATGTGGTTCTGAGGCAAAGAAACTGCATACTGTTGCCTCTTCGACTTTTGTGGCATAAGCTGCGGAGGTACGTATGGTTTGAATTTGAGAGCCATCGTGAGAGTCTTAAACAAAAGGGTTATAGGTAGATTTGGGCTAAGAGCCAGAGTATTTGGGATCAAAGTAGTGTGAGATACTTGGTCTAGTGTGGAAGTTGATAGCAGATGTAAAGCCAGTGTAACTTGCGACGGAGGAAGACCTCCTTTTATAGACCAATTCCCTTCTTTGCCCCCCTTCCCTGCAATGATTGGTGTAGTCAAGGACATGGAGCTCAAGCCATCCACCCGAAAATGAATCGTCGCAAATGCGGGCTGCTCGGGTCGCTTCCCTTGGCTTTCCTGTGTCAATCGTTACCGCTTAACGAAACGAGATAAGCCTCATGCAGTTGGTGAGATTAAGGGGCTTGGCCAACTGCATATTGAGGCTTATCACTCTCAAGACTGCCTGGGTGCCAGGTCAACTGACGCAAGTATACGACCAGGCACGGTAAATAGCTCGGCTAGCGGGCTTGTTCGCTCCACAGTGGCGAAGTAGCAAACATCCTGATCCTGTTCTCGCGTCATCTCATGCATAGCCAACTCATGCATGAGATTGTCCTTCGACCAGCTTGCTCACATCTCTCGCCGTATGTTCATACATCTCTGAGGTGATAAAAGGCGAATAGCTTTGAAAAACATCAGAATTGGAATTTTTCTTCTCCTGAGGCTAGCATTTCAGCCAGCAGACAGAGAATAACAAGGTAGGGACACATGTGTCCCCTTCTTGTCCCACAGCGACTGATACTGAGGTACCTTGTTGACCCCATCGGGCCATAGCTTTGAGGCAGGCAACCACATCATCCTTCAGTATCTCAAGGATATCATCGGAAAGAGCGGCATTATCACAGGCTAGGTCTAACGTGATCGAGTCAGAGCTCAGCATGCGGTGCCTTGGCTGCTGCAGGTAACACACCATCGTACTCCGCTTAGGACATCTAGCCATGCCTGGAACCTCCGCGCAATCACGCTCAAGGCAGATTTGACATCATTAGCGGTCCAAAGGAATTCATGGTGCGCAAAAGTTCGATAGCCTGCATGAGCTGACGACAGCACACTCTCGCTTAGCGATGATGAAGATGATAATCCGCCTCCATGAAACTCATGCCGTCCCATCCTCGCTCTGGCGCCATCTTCCCTACCCATACACCTTCCAACTCGGGTAAAGGATTTGTGATGATGGAGAATCATCGACGGTGTAGCTGCCCCTTGATCAAGGAAACCAGACACAAGGTGGAGGCCGAAACGGACTGTTGGCCAAGCCCGGAGGAACCAAAAACACCTCACTTCCTCGTAGCTGACTCCATCCCTGTCTAAACTCTCTCGTCTCACGTCGAGAGCCAATGACTCTCACCTGTAGATCCGCTCAAGAGGCAACCCATTGACTCTGGTGGTGCAGAGATGAGACGGTAAACGTGCCGCGCCACTCAATCATCCAATGCGTAATCTCAGCTGGCGTCAGCTGCCTAAAGATCGTCGTATCACCTTCAGGGATGACTTTCAACACGTTGGCATAGCCAGGCAGTAAGATGGTGTCGGACACTCAACAAGGGGTCGCTACCTTGTGAATAAAGAAGTAGAACGATTGAGGTCTCCAGGACAGTGTTGAGAATATCAAATGAATAATGACTGCGGGAAATAGGGACGGTTTGCGGGTTGGATGCTGATAAATGTGAATATGCTGTTTGCGTTGTGGTTGGGCCAAAGGGTGGTGGGCACGTGATAGCGAGGCCAGAAAATGGGAGGGAAAAGGAGACTGCAGAGGTACATGGCAGGGGCGGTGGGGGACTGGCCGCTTTATAGGCGGCGTAAAAGCAGCAAGTGATGACAGGGCCGAAGATTTCCCGACATGACAATCGCCCAAATAGGCAGGCTGAACCCGCCATTTCCAAAGGCGGGCAAGCCGTGCCATCTTTTACTAAAAAAAAGATAGAATTCTAATAGAATAATAAATAATAATAAATATTTAATAAAATTAAAAACTAAATTCTCTTAGAACTTATACTATAGATATTTAATTTTATATAAAAAATAGAATTTAAAATAAATATTTTAAACTTTATAATTAGTATATAAATTAACTAAAGAGATAATAATAGAGTATTATACTTTATAGTATTTTTCTTAAAGAAATTATATAATACTAAACTTAATTATTCTATTTATAATAAGAAGTTTATAATTATTATATATATATTTAAAGAATTTAAATATTATTACTTAGGAATAATATATAAAGTTAAAATATATATAGATTATAAGAATATTTAGTACTTTATTATAATCTAATAACTAAATAGAAGATAAATATATTATTCTAAATATCTATTTTAGTTTAATTATAAAATTATATATTAAAAAGAATTAGAAAATAGAAAAATTAATACTCTTAGTTAGAAATCTAAATATAAGAAAATAGTTCTAAAAATAAATAGATAGTTATTCTTAACTAATAATAAAGAATACTTAGTATAGAAAACCTTAGGAGCTATATTTAAGAAAATAGTATATATTAAGATTTAGATAAAGATTATATCTAGCTTAGAAAAATTATAATAAGATATTAAAATAATACTTATTAAGAAAATCTATAAATATTTACTCTTAGAATATTAAGAAATTAAGAAAATATTTAATAGAATTAAATAATATTATAATTATCTAGATTTATTAAAAAAAGTATAAATTATAGTTTTAGAATATAATACTTATATATAAATTAAGTTTATATAATATAAACCCTATAGAGAACTAAAGCTAGTTCTAATATTAGAATAACTATAATAATTAGTATTCTTTAATTATATTATTAAATTATTATTATTAAAGGAATTTATAATTAGAGTAGAATATAATAATATTCTAATAGTTATTAATAGATTTATAAAATATAGATATTTTATTCTATATAAGAAAATAAGCTCTATAGAAAATCTTATATATTAGTTTTTATAATATATAGTTAATTACTATAGATTATCTAATAAAATTATATTAGATAGAGAAATAATATTTATCTTTAAATTTTAATAATTATTTATAGTATAAATAAGTACTAAGTATAAGCTTTTAATAGTTTATTATCTATAAAATAATAATTAAATAGAATAATTAAATTAAACTCTAGAATAATATTTATAAGTATATATTAATTATAAATAAAATAATTAGATATAACTATTATTAATAGTATAGATTATATATAATAGTTTAATATAAAAATCTATTTAACTTATACTAATATATATAAATTATAATTATAAGTTATAATTCTAGAATTAATTAGAACTTAATAAATCTAATATACTAGTTATTATACTTATAAAAGAAATACTATATTTATTATATATAGAAATAAAAATAGAATTTATATTTATCTAATAAAGAATAAAAAAATATTATAATAAAACTAGATTAAAAGAATTAATTTTAAAGAAGGAAAATAAGATCTATTTACTCTATAAAAATATTATAATAATAAAACTAAGTAATAAATTAGATTATAAAAAACTTAGATTATTTAAAATTATAAAGAAAAAATTAGATACTAATTATAAACTCTTATTACTAGATATAATATATATCTACCTAGTTTTCTATATCTTATTACTTAAAAAAGTACTAGAAAATACTTTAAACTAAGATTATCTAATTAAAATCTATAAAGAAAAGTATAAACTAGAAAAAATACTTAAGAAGAAGATTAAGAATAAATAAATATTTTATTTAATAAAATAGAAAGATTATAATAAAAAGAATAATATATAGGAACCTATTAAATATCTAAAGAACTACTATAAACTTATTTAGTAGTTCTATTAATAGAAAAAAAGAAAAAATTAGAAAACTCTAGTAGAAATAAAATCTAATTAATAATTCCTATAGTATCTAGAGATTATACTATATCTATAGCTTATTACTCTTCTAAAATAGATTTCTCTTAGAAATAAACTCTATTCTATTTATTTAGATTTCTAATTCCCTAATAAAATAGATATTAGGATTTTTCCTATATAATCTAATACTAATAATAAAGATATAAAACCTTTACTAGAATCTCCTAAAGTACTATCTTAGAAAAGACTAATTTAATATCTAACTAATATTCTTTTATAACTAACTATTTTACTATAGAAATTAATAATAGAATATATATAAGCTAAGGAAAAAAGTATATATTATAATACTACTTCTATACTATTATATAATTACTCTATATAAATATACTTATTATAATATAATAATATTTTAACTATATAATATACTTTCTTATATTTAAAGTAGTTTAAATAAAATATTATTTTAATATCTATCTTCTTAATTAATAATATAAAAACCTTATATTATTAGAATTTCTTAGAAATAAATTATAATATTATTAATAATATAGAAAAAATAATTAAAGAATAAAGAAATTACTTATTAAAATACTAGATTATAAAACTTAGTTCTAGAATAAAACTAATAGAAGAGGAGTAATATATTATAGATAAAGAAATATCCCTAGTATTATATATTATACCTCTACTTTTTTATACTAATAAAAAAAGAATTACTTTAAATTACTAGTAAGCCTATATAATCTCTAGTTTAACTTACTCTGAATTACTAGTAAGCTTTTATAAGCTATCTAGTATATATATATATTTATTTTATTAAATAGAAATATTTCTTTTATAATTATTAATATAATTATCTATATATTTATTATTACTAGCTCTATAATACTTATATATTAATAGTAACTTATATTATATAGTTTAAGATAATCTAATTATATTATTTAGAATAATACTCTAATTAGTTTAATTCTAATCTACTCTAGACTCTATTTAGTATAAGTTATCTAATTATTATATCTATTTATAAAATCTACTTTTATTTTTATTTTTTTAGATATTAGAATTATATCTTTATTATAATAGATATTATATTTATTTAATAGTTTAATAAAAAACTTAGTATTTTATTAAGATTAGCTATATATATATTATATTTATTTTTTCTTATTAAAATATCTA